AATAATGGAGATTAAAGTCACATAAACAAATAATAGCCATGAAGCTGGTATAAAAATATAAACAGGGCACTAAAGCAGAAAAGAGACACATATAATTTAGCTTCTGTAGTTGAGTTGGGAAAAGCTTTTCCAAGGAAGCTAGTGTCATAGAGGATAAGTAAAAATTTGCCAGATGGAAAGTCACTTTCAGCGAAAGAAATAGTGAGCAAAAGCACGCTTGAAAGAGAACTATGTACACAGATGTTACATAATTGTAGAAGCTGATGCTGGGAAGGTAGATGAGACTTCAGAGTAAGGGCCTGTTGTCCAGGGTATGCACAGCTCAGTAGAAATAAGAACATGTAAAAGAGACATACAAGCAGCAGAAGGGCATAATCAGAGGAACATGCAAGACCATAAGCAGGGAGATCAGTGGATAGTGCAAGCAAAGAATGAGAAGAGGGAACACAGTGCAATGGGAAAGGAGGTCAATGATAAAACAGTGTCAAGGACAGGATGTGGGGGGCAATATTAGTAGTCATCATCTCTGGCTGAGTGAGATTCTTGATTGCCAAGGCCACTAAAACAAAAAACAAGCCATCTAAATTAGGACTGATAAAAAATAATACTTATCAAAGTGGGAGATGAGAAAAATGGTCAAGCAATGGGTCTAAAAATGATCAGTCCTGGCCACATTCTAATTTGAATGAACACCTTTGTATTTTACATAGTCCATAGCATAGCTAACTTCAAAACTTTTTTCCACAAATATCCTAACAGAGATACACTCTTAGAGAAACTCAGAAGTTTCAGTGACAGCAAAAAGAAAAGTAGAAACACTGTCTACTAAGGACCCAGAAAGAAAAAAAATCTACTCAGGGTGAATTTTATTGGTAAATTGTAAAAGTGAAAAATAAGTGGTGGGAATAGATAAGGGAACATGGTTGGAGTAATAGGGACAATCAAAAGGCATTTAAGAAACAGATATAGAATAATTCTGGTAGGTATTCCACAAGCATCTTTCAGGTTTTCAACACCAATCACATTGAAGAGCTACACCCAATGATTTAATAAGTTGATTGGACTCCAAGTGCATATCAACTTAAGTGAACTGAAGAATTGGATCTACAAGTTAGGATTTATTCCAAAATATTGTTTTCCCATTGCTTTAATTCCCACTGTTCAACTTTGCTGGGTAATTAGTATTGCGAGCTCTCCTTTTTCTTAACTCCCATCCATAATGTAACTTTCAAATAATTTAAATATTTGGGATACTTAATAATATAATAAGCAGTCTATTCTTTTTATTTTAATCTTTATTGATTTGAGAGAAAGAAAGCAATATGGATTTGTTGCCCCACTCATGCATGCATTTATCAGTTGACCCTTGACCCTTGTATGTGCCTGGACCGGGCATTGAACTGGCAACCTTGGGGCATCAGGACAACACTCCAGCCCAGCTACCCAGCCAGGGAAAGTACTCTGCTCTTAATTTTAAAATGTTGAGTTGAACATTTTGTAGTATAATTTCTTAATCAAGTTAAATTTCTCTATTAATGAGTTAATGAACTTCAGAGATAAAAATAAAATGTATACACTATATAGCCTCTCCATTCCTACAAATATTAGATATAAATAAAAGTCATCATAAAATGAACTTGGACTTACTAGTAAAGTTGCATATTCTTAATGTTGCAACTGCTGTCAGTACTGGCTTCCCAGCTCTCTTTACACTTTGAGTAGTATAAGAAACTTGCCATTTTCACTAGGAACAGTAAAGCTCAAGTAACACAACAATTAAAGTTTTGATTTTGTAGTTCAACTTTAAAGTTTCACACTACCCCCACCTCATCACTTCTCTACATCCTTCACCTTGAAAGAAAGAGCACAAACCTGGGGATTGTTAAAAAGTAAAAATTAAATCTATAATGTTATTTGAACTCAAAAAGTGTTGTAGTTTGTAAAGTTGACAAGGTTCTTTTACTTTTTAATGCTTCCCCAAGTGCTTGTCAATATATAAAGTTGTGAGTAATGAATGGCATAAAACGCAGTTCCGAAGTCTTTTTTTATTTTTTAGGGACTATATTACATGTTAAAACATTACATACTAGAGTAAAACAAACAAAAAATATAGAACTACTTTTTCCCACTAACTAGTCCTTAGTGGGAACATATGAAATCTTGCTCCCTAGCATATGTCATCAGTTTAGCTCAAATTAACCCTTATAAAAATAAAAATAGTCCTTAGCTTTGCCTAGAATTTTCATACAGCTGATGTTAGCTTTTTAAAAAATGTTCTGACTAGTATCTTACCGTATGCATTCACTAGAGTGTTCCTGTATGATTTCTATCCAAATCTACTCATGAATATAGGATAGGGCAGCACAAGCCACTGATGCCTTTGTGGTTAGAATAAATATCTTTCATCCTGCTTATGAGAGAATTAAGGGGATGGATTAGTGAAAATTCCAGTTAACTAAGGGTTTAAGTATGTACCTCCAAATGATGTACCCAGAATTCCCCTCCCTCATTTCCTCGAGATCTTCAAGTTAATCAAAGAGGCTGATGTAGAGTTACAAGCTACTTCCCAAATTGCCTAGAAGAAAACAATTTTTTCTATAATTTCTAAAAGTTAGAATAAAAAATAGTTTGGCGCTCTCTTCAATAACTTCAACTAAGTCAAATTTGCTTTCTTTTTCCCCGAAGATTATGGTGTCAAAGCAGGAAAGTGAGATTCTTTGTAAGTATAAATGTATGGCGCTAATATAAGCTGATTTTATTAGTTTCTGTTTAAGTTGTTAATAAAAGTGTAACAAAATTTATATTTCAAATTTCCACTTGATAATATAAGACATCTTTTACTACATTTTCAATTGATACTTATAATTTGCACACTAAACATAAATTGGGAGATTAAAAATGTTTTAAGACCTGGACGGGTGTGGCTTAGCTGGAGCATCATACTGGAAACCAAAAGGTTGCAGGTTCAATTCCGCCAGGGCACATGCCTAGGTTGTAGGTTTAATCCCAGGCCATGGTGGGAATGGGAGACAACCAATCACTGTTTCTTTCACATTGATGTCTCTTTCC